GGCGGGCGCGCATCCCGCGCAGCCATCCCGGCGGACATCTTCGCACCGGCGAGTCTTCCCGGCGGGCGCGCATTCCGCGCAGCTATCCCGGCGGACATCTCCGCGCCGGCGAGTCATCCCGGCGGGTGCGCATCCCGCGCAGCCACCCCGGCGGACATCTTCGCGCCAGTGAGTCATCCCGGCGGGCGCGCATCCCGCGCAGCCACCCCGGCGGACATCTTTGCGCCAGTGAGTCATCCCGGCGGGCGCGCATCCCGCGCAGCCATCCCGGCGGACATCTTCGCACCAGCGAGCCATACCGGCAGCGCACGGGACTATCCCGTCGCGTCGAGGACCATAACTTCGGGACGCGTAGCGCATACAGCCCCCGGCGCGCACGCAACGCAGGCATCAAGGCACGCCCCTGGCAGCGCATCCAGCCGACACCGCCGGCCGGCGGAACGCAGGACAGTGCAGTTTGCCTCCTCTCGCCGACGTCTCGAGTCCCGGGCTCTACCTCCTGCGAGGGACGACGCCGCTTCCAGAACTTCGAGAGCGTTGAGGCATATGCTTTGCCTCGTCCTGGTATTTCTCCTCAGTTTCTTTTCTTTCTTCTCATTTTTTCTCGGTTCGCGGTACGCGTCACATAGCTTAAATATGACGGAAGAAGACGCGCGCGTAGAATCGTATCGGGTGCCTAAGATTCCGCCCTTCTGGCGACAGGCCCCGGAAGATTGGTCTTTGCGTGTTGAAGCGTCGTTTAGAAACACGAATATAACCGTCGATAGTACTAAAGTCGATCACCTTATCGTTAGCCTCGATCCCGAGGTCATCTCGCATATCCGAGATTTGATTACGGCGGAACCACCGCCCGATAACCTGTACAAAGCGCTCAGAGACAGGATTCTCGCGACGTTCGCGGTCTCACCGGAGGCCCGATTACGGCAATTGCTGAAGGGTCAGGTTCTGGGAGATCGGAGGCCCTCTCACTTATTAAGTCAGATGAATCAGCTCAACGGTGGGCAATGCAGTCCTGCCGTATTAAGATCTCTCTTTATTGAGTTGTTACCCGACACGCATAAAGCCATTTTGGTTGCAACTAACGAACCTGATCTGCAAAAATTAGCAGAAATCGCGGATAAACTCGCGGATATCAACGGTCCCAGTTCCGCAGTCGCCTTGGTCGCGCCGAAAGAATCCAAAGGCACTCGTCCTAAAGCTTCTTTGAGCGCTGACGAGCGGATCGATAAACTTACTAAGCAGATCCAGTCTCTGAGCACTTCGGTCGCGAAATTGCGCCGTGACCGTTCAACATCCCGTAAGCGTATTAACACTAAGCATGGTGATGAGGCAGATAAGCCCGACGTTAAGGCAGGCTACTGTTTCATTCACCGTAAGTACGGGAAGAAAGCCACGTCCTGCCGCATGCCTTGCTCGTGGAAAGATGACGCGGCGGAAAACTAATTCGCTCTCCCCGCGAAGAGACGGTCGGGAATACCGGGCACAGTCAAAGCCGTCTTCACATGTATGACCAGATCACTGGTCAACGGTTTTTGATAGACACGGGCGCGGAGATCTCTCTCCTCCCAGCGTCCTTACGCGATAAGAAAACGCTCTCAGAACTTAAACTTTTTGCAGCGAACAATACTTTGATAGATACGTTCGGCGAGCGTCGTCTTACTTTAGATCTAGGCTTGCGGCGTCCCATAACATGGACTTTTCGCGTAGCGAATGTGCTTTTCGCAATCCTCGGTGCAGACGTGTTGACACATTACAAATTGATTGTCAACCTGCACAAACGTCGTCTAGTGGACAACGTGACTTCCTTATCATCGTCCGGACAAATTTTAGCGGTTCCGGAAATTAAAATATCGATAATCAGTAACGACAATAAATTTGCGGACATCTTGTCGGGTTTCCCCGAGGTTACCGGTCGCGGTCAGGCACTTTCACCTGCCGCATGTGCTGTCGAACATCACATTTCGACTAACGGTCCTCCCGTCGCGGAAAGGCCACGCCGGCTACCCCCCGATAAGTTGAAGGCAGCGAAGGCTGAAATTATGAGGCTGTCTGAATTAGGCATCTGTAGGCCGTCCAGCAGTCCTTGGGCTAGTTCAATCCACCTCGTCCGCAAAGGTAACGGCGATTGGCGGTTGTGCGGTGATTACCGTCGCTTAAATGCCGTCACGATACCGGATAAATATCCGATACCGTACTTGCACGACTTTACCTCAAATTTATTAGGTAAGTCGATCTTTACCTCCCTTGATCTCTTCAAGGCCTACCACCAGATTCCTATGGCAAAAGCGGACATACCAAAGACGGCCGTCATAACGCCGTTCGGGTTGTTCGAATTCGTCTCCATGACATTCGGTCTGCGGAATGCCGCTCAGACCTTTCAGCGGTATATTCATTACGCCTTACGGGATCTCAACTTTGCATTTGCTTATATAGATGATATTCTTATCGCGTCCTCTTCTATGGAGGAGCATAGGAAACATCTAAGCATTGTCTTCCAAAAACTCAAGGAATTCGGGTTAGTCTTTAACCCATCCAAATGCGTGTTCGGTGTAGAGGAGTTGACTTTCCTCGGTCATCGCGTAAATAAATTCGGTCTTAAACCCTCTCCGGACAAAGTGGCTGCTATTCGGGATATCCCGAAGCCAAAGACCGTAGCGGAACTACGTCGTTTTTTAGGCGCGCTGAATTTTTATAGGCGCAGCCTTCGACATGCCGCTCGCGTTCAAGCCCCGCTACACGCATATTTAACTGACTCGCGTAAAAATGATAAACGCGAAATACAATGGACGCTCGAGGCCGAAACCGCGTTCGACAAGGCCAAAAACGACCTTGCTAATGCCACGTTACTAGCA